CAACCCCGGTCCGGAGAAAGGGAACCAAGGCGCCCCCCCCCCGCCTTTGTGTTCCCCCCCCGGGGATTCCCCCCCCCCCCCCCTCCCCCCAAAACACACACACAAAACAACATGTCCGCCCCTTTCACCCCCCCCCCCCCACACACACCCCACCACCCCACCCCCCTGTCAGGCATGCGCCGCAAACTTCTGTGGGAGAAGGGAGGGGAACCGGGCATGCGCCGCGCCCGCGCGTGCCCGCCGGCCCCCTCGGCGCGTGAGCACTGACTCCCAGAGGCCGGTTGGCGGGGGGAAGCGCCTCCCCCCCCCCGAGCCCGCCCCGTGTCATGTTCGCCGCGGCACGAGACGACCCTGCGGCCCCCATCGGGGGCAGTTGAACTCTGAGGCGGCGCCCCCGCGTCTGGCCACGCGGCGCCAGTGGGCGCCGCGCGCCCAATGCAGCGATGTTTGAGTTTGTTGGACTCTGGAACTGGGTGGATTGGATATGTCTTGGTGCTGGTGGCTCGTGATGAGTATTGTTTGCTGTCTGTCGGTTTCACAAGGGATCACTTTTTTCGCCAGGTATCGCAGGCAAGAGACGCCGTTTGCGCTATATTTTTTACCATTTTTCGCGAACGTCCAGCGCTTCCTTCTCCTAAAGGCGCGCTTGCCCGTCCTCTATCGCCTTGGCGACTGGCCGGCGCCGCCGGCGGCACCCTCAGGCATGCTCTCAAGCTCGCTGTCGAGCATCGCCTTCGGCCTGCCCGAGAAGGTGGACGTCTTGGTCGTCGGCGGCGGGCCAGTCGGGCTGACTTTGGCGGGGCAGCTCCTCCACCTCGCTCAGCGCGGGCGTGTTGCGCTGGTGGAGGCGAACGAGGAGCCTTGCGGCGGCTCGCGACTGCCAAAGGCGCAGCTCATCTCTGCCCTCACCATGGAGACGTGGTCGCGTTGGGACGCCGCCCTGCCTCGGAAGATTCGAGGCTTGTGTCGGCTGCGCCCGGAAACGACAATGGACCTGGTGTCCTGGGACTCGGATAAGCAAGCCCCACGGAGTACCGCCGTCGGCCTGCAGGCGCTGTCCGAGGGGCTGTCCAAGGAGTCGCACGGGTGGGTGCAGCAGCCGCTCTACGAGGCGGCTCTGAGGAGCCACGTCGCCTCGGCGCCGCGCGAGTGCGAGCTCACGACACATTACGGCTGGAACGTCGTGGACGCCACCGAGACGGACGGCGAGTGGTCGGTCGTGCTCGAGCAAACGGAGCGAGGCGGTCGACACTACGCGGAGGACGGCCTGGACGGCCTCGCGACGGACGACACAGCCGCGCCAAAGGCTGGTGGCCGCGTGCGCCAAACGGTGCTTGCGCGCGTCCTCGTCGGCTGCGACGGCGGAAGGTCGTCGGTGCGCAGACGCGTGCCGGGCGCCGACCTGTGCGGCCAGGGCGGGCTAGGAGCGTCGCTGACGGTCGTCTTTCGCAGGCTGAGATCGGACGCTTAGTTCCCGTCTAGTGGTAGTACTGAGTGTAGCTCCCGCCTCCTTCTCGGATCACCCCACCCCTCATTGCCTTCAGGCCCGGCATGGAGGCGCTGCTGCGCCGCCAGTTTGCCGGCACGCCACCCGGCGTCGCGTACTGCTTCAAGAAGGAGGGCGGCTGGCCCGCTTCGGTCTGGCAGCTGGACGGAGCGGCCGAGCTCTACTTTGGCTTTGTCTCGTTCCCGTCGGTGAGCGATGCTCCCGCCTGGCTCTCTGACGGCGCGGGGGCGGCCGACCCGGCCAAGGCGCTGGAGGCGCTCGAGGCGGCGTGTGATTGCGCCGAGCCGTGGGGCCCAAACGCCGAGGCGCGCGACAGCTGGTTCTGGACGCCCTACTCGCTGTGCGCCGGCAAGTGGACCCTCCAGCGACCCTCGGCTGCGCTCGCCGGCGACGCGGCGCATCTCCTCTCCCCCGTCGGCGGCTTCGGGATGAACGTGGGCGTCGGCGACGCGGCCTCGCTGGGCTGGCGGCTTGCTGCCATCCTCAACGGCTGGCTCGCGCCGGACGCCGCCTTCTCGGGCTACGAGGCCGAGAGGCGCGAGGCGTGGGCGCGCTGCAACGACTATGTTGTGTCCGAGCGGGCCCGGCTCATGAGCAGCGGCTCGCGCGACGCCGGCGGACGCGGCGGCGCCTACGAAACCGCCCTCTTGGGCGCATGCGTCGACGGCCGAGCAAGGGTGGGGCTCCGGCTTCCCAGCCTTCCCGGCGCGCTCCTCGAGGCCCGCGGCGTCACCCTCGTTGTTGTCGGCGACGACCTTGCCGCCGCAGTCGAGCCCGCCTTCCGCGCCGCCTGCGACCGCATCGGCATCCCTTGCCGCGCGTGCAGCGTCGACGGTGCCGAGGCAGCGGTCGCGGCCGCATTTGGAGACCACCGCCTCGCCATCTGCCGACCCGACGCCGTCGTGACACACCTCAGTGCCGCCAGCCTGCCAGATGGGGTGGCAGATGGAGGCTCGAGTGTCGCGGCCGAGGCGCTGCTCCTCAGTCGGCGCCCTTGACCGCGACGAAGCACCATTGTGGTGTGGCGCCGCCTGAAGAGCTCACACAGCCTTGGGCTTGGCGATGCGCCCACCGCCCAAGTTTGTGTGGTGTGAGTGGCTCGAGGAAATCGTAGGGGTGGTGTGCCTGAAAAGCTCAACGTAGAGAGATGAGGCGGAGTGAGAGCTTTGCATTAGCGGCGCTGGCAGCGGCGGCGCAGGGAGGCAAAGAGCGGGTGGTCAATCTGCTGCTGCGGCGTGGCGCGGAGATCGACCAGCAAGGCAAGGACGGCTGCACCGCGCTGATTCTCGCCGCAGCGTACAACCGCCCCGTCGTGCTCCAGCTGCTGCGGGCGGGCGCAGACATGACGTTGCGCGACGCGGAGGGCACGACGGCGCTGCAGTGGTCCAAAGTGAAGGGCCACGCCGAGTGCGTCCAGGCCTTCAAGACGTACCTCGGGGAGGTGGCTGCGCGCCGGAGCAAGGCACCGTCGGCTGAGGCAGGCGGCGCAGGTGCGGCGGTGGGTGCGAGTGCCACGGCCTCTGCTCCGAGCGGCGAGGATGGCTTGGAGGTCGAGCCGAGCGGCGGTGCGGCGCCAGAAGAGGTTGTGCAAGCAGCTGGGCGAGGCGACGAGGAGGCGGCAGTGCTGGCGTGGGTCGACGGCGGCGGGCGGGTGAACGCGACGTTCGAGTACGTCTTTTCGGACGGCCCTGATGGCGGCGTGACGCTGCTGATGGTCGCAATGACGCGTGGCCACGAGGGGCTGGCCGAGGCGCTGCTCCAGCGCGGTGCGGATCTCGAGTTGCAGACCAGCGACGGCGAGACCGCGTTGATGGGCGCCGCCGCGTATGGCTTCGAGAAGCTGGTCGAGTTGGCACTACGGCACGGTCGACCAGCGAAGCGAGTTTGGCAGCACCGCGCTGATTATCGCCGCCGATAGAGGCCACAAGCAGACTGTCGACTCGTTGATCCGGCACGGCGCAGCGATCGACCTGCAGACCATCGACGGCAAACCCGCACTGATTCGGGCCGCTTTCTTCGGCAAGCCCGCCGCCCTTCTCTGCTTGCTGCGGGCGGGCGCAGACGTGACGGTGCGCACTACGAGAGGCAAGACCGCGCTGCAGTAGAGTTGGCCAAGCACAAGGGCCACACCGAGTGCGTGCGCGCCATCGAGGAGCATGCGGCGACCGAGAAGGCGGCGGAGAAGGCGGCGAAGAAGGCTGCGGAGGCGGCGGAGAAGGCGGCGGCGGAGAAGGCGTGGGCCGCGGGAGCGGCGGAGAGGGCTGCGCAGAGGGCGGCGGAGGAGAAGGAGGCGGCGCGGCACGCGGAGGAGCTGCTGGCGGAGGTCGAGGCGGAGAAGCGCGACAAGGGGAAGAGGGGCAAGAAGAAATAAAATATTCTTACCTTCAAGCCCCCCTCCGAGACTAGGGACAGAACCACACCAGTATAGACCAGAGGGACTGCGCCTCGCCCCCACTTGCCCTGACTGCACAGGATAGCGTGCCCCGAAGACGGCGACACATAGCGGGGGACACTGCGCAAGGAGGGGGTGCGAAGCCAAGGTTGGGGTTCTGGGTGGTGGGACCAATGAGGGGGGGAGGGCGGGGTCCTGTGGGGGTGAAATGTTGCGCGGCGAATTCGAGCCTACCCCCAAGAGGGGCAAGAAGAAGAGGAAGGGCGGCGGGGCGGGCGGGCCGGGGCCGTCGCAGGAGCCCGAGGAGGGTGCCGAGGCGCCGTCGGAGGCAGACGCAGCCGAGGCGGCGAAGAAGGCCGAGGAGGGGAGGCTTCTCCGGCTTCTCGCGACGCTCACCGAGGAGCGGATCCGGCTCGGCATCACGGCGGAGAGCCAGGCAGCGGCTTCGGCCGAGGTGGCCGAGGCGGCACGCTTGGACGCCGAGGCGGACGAGGCGGAGGAGGAGGCGGAGCGAGGCCGAGGAGGAGGCCGAGGCGGCGGCCGAGGCGGCGGAGGCGGATGCCGAGGCTACACAGGCGGAGGTCAGGGCGGCGCAGGCGGAGGCCAGGGCGGCGTTTGAGGAGGTGAAGGCGGCGCTGGAGGCGTCGGCGGCGGCGCTGAGCGGGGCCGATTCGGCTGTTGAGAAGAGCGAGGCGGCGCTCGAGGAGGCAGCGGCCGCGACAGTAGAGACGAGGCGTGCTGCTGCGGCCGCTGCGAGGGCCAGGGCGATTGCCGCCAGGATGGCAGCGGAGGCTGCCCAGCGCTCATAGCGCGAGAGCTACTCAGGAAACAGGAGAGGCGCGTGTGGCCACCATCCTGTGGACTCTCTGGGTGGAGTTTGGGAGCTTCCGTCGAGGACGCGCTCGCTGGAGGGTCGTCTACTGAGGTGTGCTGTCGCAGCTCGCACACGTACGGCTTTACACTCGGCCGAGAGATACGCGGTTTGTGCGCGTTCGGTGCAAGACGACACTACACACTTTGCCCACCCCTTGCCAATGAACACAAATATGCAAACAAACACGGGAAGTTGACAAGTGGGGCAACATAACTGGGCATGCGATCTGGGAACACTCTCAGGAGACTGAATGAATGGAAACACACGTACGGTAAGTGTCTGCCGGGAGAGGGGCCTCTCGGCGCGCTCTCTACGACGCGCCCTCCTCCACGTCAGCAAACATGCGCTCCACCACGGGCTCGTAAAAGGGGCCGTCCGGCGGGTCGTGGCCGGGCGTTACTGCGATGAGGCCGAGCGAGTTGACCACCCAGATGGAGCCGAGCGCCCCCGAGCCGCCAGAGTCGTCCCACACCTTGCGCGGCGGCAGCTCGGCGCGGCGCACCCACGGCAGAGGGACGCAGCGCATCGCGTCGGCGGCGGGCGGCTCCTCCGTCGCGGTGCACACCATGCCGAGCGCGGCGTGCCCCTCGGGCGGCACACCCTCCCACGCGTAGAGCCCTCGCCGGCCTGCCGCCGCCGGCCCGACCGCCCGCTTGGCCCAGCGCAGCGTGTAGCGCACCGGCGGCGGGAAGGAGTAGGCGACCAGCGCGGCGAGCTCCGAGGTGCCGCCGAGCCTCCAGCGCGACTGGCGCGTGTCGGTCACCTCGACGGTCCGCTGCGGCGCGCCGCTGAACATCCGGCCCGGCTTGACCGCCCCGGCCAGGGCGTAGTGGCCGAGGCAGATCTTCACACTCGCGCCGCGGAGGATCGAGTCGCCGCGGAGCGACGGCGCCCAGACGGCGCCCTTCTGCCGCCCGCCCCCGCCGCCCGCCCCGCCCGCC